TGTGTCATTTGATCTTGGATGTAGTAAGCGAGGTACGAAGAACGGACCCCTGGAAGACAAATGTGTCTGGCTTTAAAGCACTTTGGATCAGTTTATGTTGTTTAAATGTGTTCCATGATAAAATAACCTGACAGTCAACACAAAAAGGTGAGTATATTCACATTAACATTTTTCATAGTTCATGTTAAAGGTATATTATTTCATTTCCAATAAAATAATGTTGGGCTGAATATATTATCTGAATATAGTCTATAAGTAATCATATTACTTTAGCAGGCATTGGACTGCTAAAGTAACAGCTATGATAACGAATAACAATTTAATCCTTTTTACTGTAGATCCAGCATCAGTCATGGCTGAAACATTACTGTAGTAGGCTTTATGTTGCTGGTTCACCCAACACAGTACAGAGGTGTTCAGTTTGTAGCAAATCCATTATAATATTTCTTCAAATTTCAGCCATCACTTCACTGTCCACACACACACACACACACACACATCATCTTGGTCCTGACATTCTAATGTTTTAAATGACAGGGGAGGCAAGTAAGATTAGCCAAATAACCACAGCTGCGTTAACCAGCCTCCCCCCAGCACTGCCCCTTAACCAACTGTACCCCCCACTGCCACTGCCAATATATGAACTACCTGGTTATAATTTCCCTCTGTGACAGTGGGCTCTGTCTCTGTGCGAGGGATCTGGGTCTGTCTGAACGATTTCCTTCATCCTCTCTTCATTTCTTTTGCTGCTTTTCTAGGACAAAGTTGTGTTATTCATGGTCTTTCATATCTTTATATAAGTTCATAGGATTGCCAAAGTAGAAAACTTCCTTCTAGCAGGCATCGTTGTTTGCAGTGTTTCGATTTACAGCTGTAAAGTAGCTCTATATATTGTTCCAATTTCTCACTTGCTGCAGCTTGCATGGTTTTGCTTAGTGCATCTGAGTCATATGACTGTAGGACAACTAAACACAACTGAGCAGGGAGGAGGGAGCGGACAAGAGCGTGCCTGCATGAGAGGGAAGCAGTTTGCACAGACATGTCTCCTTTTTGATGATCAGTAGCAACATACTGAACTTACATAAGAGAAACAAACTAACGCATTGAGCTGATCACAATAGTAACAATTCAATGTCAGTGCCAGCATTAAGTCGATACTATCGATATTTGGATTGATCCACCCACCCCTACTGAACAGAACAATTTCAGTTTTGCAAAACCAACAACCTGTGGACGTAGAACTGTAGAAAAACAACATTTGTTTTGATTCTTTTTTTTCTTTTTTCTTTTTTTTTTGCGCGCGCCTGTCCTGTTTGGCTCTTTTGCCATCAGAATTGTTGTCTAAAGGCAAAGAAAGATGCCCAACGGATTTACTTTACCAAACTGACCATCCCAGCCTTGCCGTAATGGTCCATTTGATTCGCCTTTTATTGTTTATTTTATTTTCACTTACTGAATTGACTGGGGGAAAGAAGGGGAGAAAGAAAGAGGGAAAGAGAAACAGCTGAGAAGAGGGACGGGGGAGAAGGGCAAAAGACAAAAACCAACAGAATGAGCAGAGAAAAAAAAAAAGAAGAAGAAAAAAAAAACATATATCAATCACCTGGATCACCTGCTGAGAAAGAAAAAAGAAAACAAGCAGAAGAGAACAAGAGTAATAGAATAAACAACATCACAATGATATATGGGAATATGACAGTAAATACTAAATATTAAACATTATTGTGCAGCACATAAGATCAACAGAACACAGTGTGCTTTGAGGTAGGAGCCAAAAAGGGTGTAGTTTGTGGGTGTGATCACCCGTGTGTACACCTGTGAGCATGGACGCGCTTGTTTTTTTTTTTTAAAAGGTTTGTTTTGATTCTTGGCAGAACCATTCAGGTATAATTTTTTTTTGCACTTTAAAAGTGCATTCAGGGATATGGTCCTCTGCATATGTCTTATTTAGTGAGTCAAAAATGCACAACAGTGGCAGTACAGATTAAAAGTTAACAATTTTAGTAATGCTGGTGCTGCTCTGACTTTCAGTGTGGGAAATATGAGTTGAGAGGGTATTCTAGAAATTCTGACTTCTGATTTATTGAGGAACACAGCAGCAGCCACTCACACAAAGAAGCAATTCATATGTTAAACTCAGTTTAACACAGTAAACTGTCCATCACTACTGTGGAACAGACCAGGCCTCTTCTTTTGGGCTCTGCCCTCCAGACCGTCAAAAGGTATTTGTTTCAAGAGCTGATCTATGAGTTACTTGTAAGAGCGTGAGACTGCTGCAATGTCTGCAAAACAGACTTCGTTGCATGTGTGATGGCTTCTTTGTGTATGAGGCTGCTGACTTAGGTGTCTGTGAGTTGTTGAATTTAAGTGAGTGGAACTTACTATTATAAGTATACCATTGAAATATATAATACCATACATACATACATATTAATACCATTGAAAAAAATGGTTTGGTTGTGATTATCTTTTTTTGTCCTACTCCTACTCTCCATGCAGTGGTTCAGTAGATCTTTAAGAATGTTTATTTCTGAAGAATTGAGTGGTCAGTAGGTATGACCTGTTTCTAGTCTGTCTTTAACCTAGAGCCTAACCTGCTCCAGATCAGGTTAGGTTCATAGCGTAAATTACCATGTCAATTTACCCCAGTAAGAAATGAACAACAATGAGCATTTATCAAATTTGAGGATAAAAAGTTTAAATTGTATTCATTAAGATGAAAGGAGACAGATAATATATTGAAAATTAGTCACCACATGTGATGTCCCAGAGCCAAACCCTTTAATACTGCAATATATCATTTTTGTTTCATTACACAAATAAAGGTTTGTGCAATTTTTAGCCCTGTTTGCTGGTTATTGCACAGAATAACCACACACACATATTTAGACAATTAGCCACAACATTAAATATAATATTTACATTGCTAGCTTCAAACAAAAAAGAATGCCAGCCGGCATTATAATATGTTAATAATATGTTAATAGTATCCTAATGTAAGTATAAACCAATATTACTTTATTATTGTGGGCTACTACCATAAGTCAGTATACAAAAGTTCTAATGCACAGATTTGACCATTTTGGTAAAATCTGGTTGTCATATTGTTGCCTATATATTGCTAAACTATTAATAATGGGTTTTGCCTCATAGGCAAGATTTTGTTTCCACATTATTGTCTCCAGTTTCTTGTCAGCTACATAAAGTTCAATGTCATATTTCTTAGCTATTAGCTATAACCTCTGTTGATGTACAAGAACTACTTTGATATTATTTAATATTTTTTGTAATTAAGTGTTCAGTCTCTGTAATAAAATATTAAGCTCAACAGTGTTCAACACTGCACTGAGGTCTAGCAGAGTAAGCACAGAGTGCTTGGTCACTGACAAAGGACCTCACCAATACCACATTATTTCCAAGCTGTAACAGAAAGTGCTACCAATAATTTTTAATGGATTTTTCATGGCTTCATTTTGTTCCTTTTGACTGAGGTATGCAAGACTCAGTCAGAACAGTGACAGTTAAAATAAAGAGAATTGATAACCCCTGTTGTGATACCCAGACAAAACCTGTTTGCAAAACTTTTGTCATTTTGTCTGTTTTGTCTTTGACTTCAGCCATGCACTCCAGTCCAACCCCACCTCCTCTTTACCTGAGCCTCCTTCTCTTTCTGTCATGGAACTCCCCAGTTCTTTCCTGTATGACAGTGAACAACAGCAAGTGTGAGTCTGCTCCATTTGTACCAGGCCACAACCTGATTGGGGAGGGATTTGATGTCATCACCCTGCACCGAAAAGGAGCCTACCTGATTGATATAGCTACTTACCGCAAACCAGATGGCACCTGTACTCTCTGCACCAACCGCAATCAAAACAAAACTCTACAAAAAGTAAATAGATAAACTGTGATTACCAGCAAACTATAGTAGATAGGTTATGTGCACATCTTAATCATGGTGTTCTGTTTTTTTATCTTCAGCTGCCGGCCTCTGTTGTCGACTGGCGTGCAATCAGCCAATGCAAAACCGATATCTCCAGCAGTGCACACACCACTGTTAGGTACAGTATAGTGTAGTATATTTGTTGCTGAAAGGACTTCATCCCAGAGATCATTGTCATCTCATTACTTCACCTAGTCTGTCACAATACCAGTTAGCCATGACAGACACATATTTTTCTTAGATGTCTGGTTGGCACTTTGTCTCTCTCCATTAAAAGGAAACACCAACAAAATGAAAGACTATTAACTTCTTTGTGAGTAAACTTTAATATTCAAAAAAGGATCAAATGATATTTCCTCAACTGTAGAATAAAACAACAAAGATGGGTGAATTGTTACAATACTGGAAGGTAAAGTGATGACCAGGTCACAAATTTCTTGTGTTGATTATCAGCATTTTGAAATCTCATAGCAGTAGGAACAAAAGAACTTCTAATGTGTTCTGTCCTACACTGCTTAGGAGAAGAAGCCTGCTGTTTACATTTCTGACCCTTTAAAATATTATGGAGAGGGTGACTAGTATTTTTTCTCCATACACCTTTCCACAATAATTCCCAGTGAATCCACAGTCCTGCCCATTAATAAGCCAGCCTTCTTCAGTAATATGTGCAGCCACATACTATTCTTACTCACCATACTGCATTCCCATCACAGTGTAAAAAGGGGAGGGCAGTAAAATAGGGGATACTGGCAACAACAGTCTGATAGAATAGAAACAGCGTCTCACTACATACACTGAATTTATATTTATTTGCTGGGGCACACTACAGAAACTCTCTAAATCCTTTAGATTTCTTGGCTGTCATTTGGCAACTCCAAGATTCAGCTCCCTCCACATTTTCTATAGGACTGAGGTCTGGAGATTGGCTTGGCCATCACCTTAATGCTTCTTTTGCATGTTGGAAGACCCATCCATGACGAGCCTTAAGTGTTGTGGCTGACAGAAAAGGGTTCTCGACCGAGATTTTATGGTAAATAAAATCCATTGGCCCCTAAATTTGGTGACGTCACCATTTAGCAACAAAACATCACCAAAACATAATGGTTCCCCTCCATGCTTGACTGTAAAAAAGTTTAAAGAAATGAAACAAGTAAATAAAAAGTAATTCTTCTCCTTCAAATTGTGTCCACAGTTCACTACTTAACTCTAACACTGATCAGGACATCCACGACTGGAAGGTAGGAAGCATCTTGCACTTACTGTTTGTTTCAAAATTACTGTTTGAAACTACAAAATACTGTTACTGTAATTACTCGTTATTAAAACTAATAGAAATGCAAAATTTGTAAGCAACATCGCATGCTGATTTGTTTCTTTTTTTTTCTTTCACAAGTGAAATGTGCACTGAATCAAACAGACTGTAATAACATAAAAACCTTAGTGTGCAAGTTCTCAACAAAAGGGCTGATTTGATTAAATTTTGGCTCACTGAGCTGTGTAAATGTGATACAAATATGAATTCCTTGTCTCATTATTTCATTTAATATTTCCAATTTAATATTTTTGATCCCGAGAAAAAAAGTATTATATTCAAAGTAATTGAGTGAATGAATAATAAGACAGTATTTATTATATCTAATACTTTTATCTATTACTTTTATATTACATTGACTATTATTAAAAACAAAAATGGTAATGAAATTACATTTCTATTTATCAGGCTGGACTAAATATAAATCCCAAATCTACCAGCGTGGGGATTGGAGGAACACACTCCATGGCATATGCATTTGCTACAAAAAGGACCAAAGAGGACCACTACTCCTTCAGCACACACACGGTCACCTGTACTCACTATCGGTTAGCTGTGAAAATCCTGGCATTACCACATATACCACAAGTTTAGATTAACAATATATAATTTCAGTTTTTAATAATTTACTAATCAGTTTCATTCCATCTAGTTACCGGGTATCAAGCAGACCGACTCTTAGCTCTGAGTTCAGCAGGGATGTGGCCAGTTTGCCAAGTCGCTATAACTCCTCCACCAGAGATCAGTACAACGAGGTCATAGATACCTACGGCACACATTACATTCGCAAGGTTAAAACACAGAAACACTGTTAATTAGATTATTTCAGGAGTAAAAACACTTTTTTATTAAAACTTTGTGCTACATTACAGGTTCGTCTTGGTGGCCGTCTTAGACGAGTCACAGCTGTACGAACCTGTTTGTCCAGACTAAACGGATTCTCCTCAAATGAGGTACATGAAAAACATTTGCCTGCACACAGTCACCAGACTGCATATTTCTACTCCATATGAATAAGAACATAAGGGATGCTAAATAGTTGTGTTTTTGTTTGGTTTTTGGCAACAACTGAATAGTGACATCATTCTTATTGCATTTGTATATGAATGCAAGGAGCTTATTCCCTTCCAAAAGATATTCTCTCAGTTGTTCTACTGACCAAAGTGAAAGAAACCATTGTACCTTATCTCTATAATTGTCTCACAGTCCATCAGGAGCTCTCTCTGCTGTGCTGAAAAACCTCTAGCTTCTGTCGCTGCCATTTTCAACATCAACAACAACCATAAACACGGCACCTTTTAACACTTATTTTGCCAAAAGTGTTTGCTTGTCTGCCTTTACATGCATATCAACCCGAGTAACACCCCATACTTAATCCATAGGGTTCATTATGACATCAGCTATAATAGCTTGAACTCTCCAGGTAAGGCTTTCCATAAGTTTTAGGAGTGTGTTCATGGGAATTTTTGATCATTCTTCAAGAAGCACATTTGTGAGGTCAGACACTGGTATTAGATGAGAACTCTCTGCTTTAATTCATTGCAAAGGTTCTGTCAGGTTGAGGTCAGGACTCTGTGTGAGCCTGTCAAGTTCCTCCACACCAAACTCACTCATCCATTTCTTTATGGATCTTGCTGTCTGCACTGGTACTCAGTTATGTTGAAACAGGAAGGGGTCATTCCCAAACTCTTCCCACAAAGTTGGGAGCATGTCCAAAATACCTTAGTGTACTGAAGCATCAAGCGTTCCTTTCACTGGGACTAAGGGGCCGAGCCCAACTCCTGAAAAACAACCCCACACCACAATCCTCCCTCCACCAAACTTTCATGTATTTCACAAATGTTTGTAGCATGCCTAGGTGCTTGATTTTATACACCTGTGATCACGGAAGTTATTGGAACACCTGAATTCAATGATTTGGATGGATTAGTGAATACTTTTGGAAATGTAGTAAGTATTTTAGCCACTTCTGTATGAGAACTGTCAGCAGCTGGTTCTGTGACCCAGCAGTTTCAGTTGGTTTTCATCTCTTTTGTTATATTTTGAAGATAATGTGGAGGTTGGGATTATTATTAATTGGCTGTGAATTTTAGTTTAGTCTGTTTTACCCAGGCCTTCTGTGCTAGTTGTTTTGTATTTCTTGTCCACGTGTTTCATATTGTAAACCCTGGGTTGTCATGTCTACGTCTCGCTATGTTTCCTGTTTTATTTTGAAAGTCTCGTGTTTCTTTGTTCAATGTGCTTAGTTTTACTCTTCCCCTGTGACGTTGTTATGTTCATTTGTGTCAGCTGTTTCCCCATGTGTTTCCACTTCCCCTGATCACCTCCTGTGTGTATTTAGTCTGTGTGTTTCCTTCAGTCTTTGTCAGGTCGTTCTGTGTTCTTTCTTTCATGTCAAGTTTCAGGTAGTTCATGATTCATGTTTATATTCATATTTTCCTACATGCACCTGTTCTGATTCATGTTTTTGTAATAGTAATCAAAGTTTAATTTCTCCAGTTTAGGTTCTAGTTTAGTTTTCGCCCCACTCACCTTTGTTTTGTTGGTGTACTGTTCTTATCAGCCACAAGAAACGGCTCACTTTTTGTCCAAGTCACGTTTCACGCTCCGTTTTAGTCTGCATTTGGATCCAGTGTTCTCTCTACACACCGTCAGCTCCCCACTGTCTGTGACAAGAACTTGCCTGACTAGTTCCACCTTGTGGCAAAGACTTTGGAACCCACATCCAAACGACTGCCATTTGAAAATTGCTGATTACTTACATTTACTTACTTACTTATATTTGACATTTTCTTCATTGTTATCTCTCCTTTCTCTTTTTTTCCAAGTTTGTTTTTCAAATTTCTCAACTGCCAGTGGGCATGAATAGCGTAAATCAGGTGAATGGTGATTTCACTCTTGCCTCCTCCTATCCGAAACAGGCATCAGGATTAGGTAAAAAGAGAGAGAGAGAGAAACACCTGCGGACATTTTAAACACTTAATGAATTAACGATCAACTACAAATTGTTTCCACTTCTTTTGGAATAATATGAAGAGTATGGATCAGTATCTGTATCTGTACACATCATTTACAAGAACTCATGTGATGGTTAGCATTGCCAAAACCTTTTACAATTTTAACACTGCATGCATGTATAAGTAATTTGTAACATCTGCATTTTAACAAATATCAATAAAGTGCATTAACAAACAGAAAATACAAAAAGACAAAGAAAAATAAGTTACCATACCAGGCACAGGGAAATTGACCACACTGTGTACCCTCTGGGAGGAAAGCCACAACTGGCCAATACTGCACAAAGGTCCAGTGACAGAAGCTCAGTTCAGTTTGATTTATATAGCACAGCAAAAGTTGTCTCAAGGAACTGTGTTTATTGTAAGGTAAAGAACCTTCAATAATACAGAGAGAACCAGAACAATGAGACATGAATACCTTTCTTTGTTTAAACAAAGCTTTCTTATTACATTTTAAATTGGCTCTACACCAGGATATTTTTAGGACATTTTCAATAACCCTTGAGTGACACACTTAGTTCACAAGTTCCATGACATGTAGGCCTAACATCACAAGCGCTTCTCTTTGGCATGTGTTCCTATTTAATGGAAGTCCTGCATCTTATGTCTTCTCCTGCCTTCTAGTTACACTCCTGCCTGTCGATGGGTGTCTCCATTGGCTTGGGAAAGCTGAATCCATCTGCTGTCCAAGGTTCTTGCAAAAACATCCTGGAAAACCAGGATGTTGCCACTAGGTATAGCTCTGGTCTCCACCAACACTATACGGATGTGGTGGGAGGTGATGGGTGGTTGGGAGAGTTTTCACTTGCATATGATGACTCCCTGGGTTTTAAAAACTGGCTGAACAGTCTGAAGGATCATGCAGATGTTGCTTCCTACTTCATTCGCCCAATGTATCAGCTGATACCGAAAGGCACAAAGAAGTCAGGGATGAAGGCGGCCATAGAGCAGTACATAACAGACAATGATGTGAGTCAATCACACAGCCAACAAAATTGCTGGCGGGGCAATCCTAACCTAGATTTCAACTGTTGTCCACGACAAGCCTGGAGGGGGAAGCTAACTGTGGAAATCATCCAGGCCTGGAATCTGAAAGGAGATCATCTTGGCCCAACTGACAGGTGAGACAAGCATGGTTAGGGATTAGGATTTAGAGTTTTCTAAAGATTTCCGAATCTCTAGGATTTAGAGATTTAGAAATCTGCAATATTATTCATCTTTGTGTCTTTCTCCTACTCACAGCTATGTTAAACTGAGGTTTGGTTCCATCAATCATCAGACTCGCATGATCGAATCAAGTTATCCCCGATGGAATGCTTATTTTGATCTTGGACAGGTCAGTGAACCCTGACTACATATAAGATCAAGGATCATATTGAAGGAATTTTAATACTGCAGGTTTGATGTACTGATTTCAATTTTTAGAACTTGGGCTACTTACATCTTTTATATACAGTTAACTTTAGCTGTTCTTTAACTGAGGTTATTTATTTCCATTTGGTTAAGTTCAAGCAGAACTAATTCTTTCATCAGGTATATTTAAACAATTTAAGGTAATGATTTCGGTTAATATGAATGCTTTAACAATGTCAACCATGTGTCATACAGTACTGAATGCAAATCTTGCTACTGCACATTTTCCTCCTTATTTAAAATATGTAACAATATGACATATCAAAAACACAACAGTGCTACCAGAATTTACATTCTATGAATTAGATGTGAATTACCATTGTCACTATTGTATATGGTACAAAATCTCAAGCATATTATTTGTAGGACAACAGTATATTAAATCCTATTTTTAATGCTTTTTTTCTCATGAAGGTGGACACACACAGTGATGTGTATGTTGAATTATGGGATGAGGATCTGTTCTATGATGATCTTCTGGGATCATGTTCCCGGCGTCCAACTCAGGGGACACGTATATTTTCCTGTTCAGCTGACAGTGGCAGCTATGAGTTCAAGACCACTCTGACCTGCGACTCACATCTCACAGGAGCCTGGTGTCACCAATATACACCATCTGCATAATGAGAAATGCATTTTGGGGCTGCATGTCTTTCTCCTATAATCAATTGTGATAAATCTGTTGATCACATAAGAGTCACATGACTGATGGGTTTTTTCTTTCATTTTCCTCGTATATATATCGTACATATCCATTTTTTTAATTTGATCTTCTTTTCATTTGTCATTCAGTTATTTTTTATATTTTATATACATATGTAGTTTCATTTTTTTCAGATTATACTTGATTTCAGTTTGTCAAATACATGTAACCCTTTTGTTTACCTTCTCAAACAAATAAAAAAAGCAGGGTAATGTTAAATTAAAAAAAGAAAGAAAGAAACATGATAACACAACAAGAAAATATCACATAATATTTGTTAAACAAAAGACTATTATACTTCATGTCACAGTGTGGGCAGGTCAAACACAAGTGCATTTGTCTGGATATACAGATTTTAAAAAGTAGGAATTTCTGGGGAAATTATTTTTAAATTCAGCATCTGGTGATTTTAAAATGTGTATCAATGAAGTTATATACCCTCAAAATTATAACGTGGTGAGTAACGACAGGTTTTGATGGTAATTTCTTAGAAATACTCAGAATACGTTTCTACACCTAGTAGCTTCTTGTGGCTGCTCCCTTACTCACAAAGAGCTGATGCACCCCTGAGGAATTTGTGTCTCCTCCCATTCTCAAACTGTAAAATATTACACTATGAACCCACTACCTTTTTTTATACAGCTTAAAATAGCTTAATTCATTTGCAAATCAAGCAAAGGATTTGATAATGTTTTTGATTTTTATTACTCTTAAAATGTTTTAAAAAATCATTGCCACAAACTAAAAATAAAGAAATAAAAGATACGTGTACTGTTGCTGTTTTACTGTAACTAATTTTCAGATAAACCTAATTATAAGGGAATCCATGTTGTGTGAGTGTATGTGTGTGTATCTGCATCCCAGCTGCATTATTTTTTTACTATAAAATATATATATATTATAGTGACTGACAATAATTGTCTCCAAGTTACAATTTGAAGAAGCATATGTAGCTCTACAACACTGCTGGTGAGGCACATTGATGAGAAGGAAGTGTCATTCAAAATAGCAGCAAAGTAGCTTTTAGTTCAGCTAAAGCCTCCAGTCAAAGCTGACACTATCGATAGAAGCTTGCAAAGTAATAGAGTAGTCATGACATGCAGAGGTAGATGTACATTGGTGCTAATGGCAATAGTACTCTCCCAGTTCCCCAGCGGGCCCCGGGGTTTCCATGTTTTTTTGTTTGTTTTATTTACCAAGTTAAACACAAATCCATCAAAGCTGCTTCTAACAGTAAAATTCACCATTCAGCTCACAGTAAAAAATCAAGTAGATCTTCCACTCAGTGTCTGAGGCTGGGTGCTCGGATGTGTACTGGCTGACTCCCTGAGGCTGCGTGGCAGGGCCTGACAGAGCCACGGGCGCCAGGCCCTACCAAGCAGCCGGCAGGAGCACCCAGCTTAGGACCT